CAGACGTACTAGATTAGGCAGCCCCAGTCATGTCTTTTCTCGGGGGGTTAAACGTTGATGACCCTAGACTAAGAGGTTAGGACAAGTGGTTTCGTAACTTGCTTACAAGCTCATATCTCATTATCTCAACCATATTTGTTTACGGACTTACGCAGTCTCGGTCAGCGCTTTCTTTTGGGTAATTAGGATTTGATGATCAGAGCCTGACATTAACCTTTTGATAACTCTGATTTAGGACTGCCTTTGTGTATAGACGCTAACACACACTCGAGCATAAATAGCAGGACCAGTATGAAAGATAATTGCTCAAACCACTCGATATCCATCCAGGTTTTTAATTTTATTTTGCTTAATTTAGTCTATATAAGAGGTAAGATAGAGCTGGATAGTCTTCTTGCCCTAGTGTTAACGTGAGACTTTTACAGGAATGAATCTCAGCTCTGATGATGTCCATCAAATGATGGACAAAAGCCTAGCTCCTTTTCACCCGAAACGAGGAAGGATGTCCCGTGGAATGCGTCAACCTGAACGTCGTATAAAAGCCAATGGGCTGCAGTACAACGGGATTCATCCGTATTCTGTTGAGATCAACCTGCGAATCTCTTCTTTATGCACTTTTATACGAAATGAAAGTACCCCTAACATAAAACGTAACCTTAGGTTTTTTGAGATGTATTCACCCTATTTCGTTTAAGGTGATGAAGGACTGGTAGTAGAATTTTCCTACAATGATATTAGTAAAGCTGACGTTTCAATTATACTAATATCGAAACTCTACTCACATGCGAAACATAAATTTTATGTCCTAATTTTTAGATTTCAAGAACGTAAGCCTCTGGATCTCGAGTCTCATCAGAAATTCACAGAAGCTGAGTTCCGGCTTACACTTTCACACAGAACGCCTCCTCCAGGGTCGATTTCCAGTGCTTCTGCTTTGACGAATCCCGAGTTTATGAAAAATCTATTTTCAGGTGGCCTCCAACGATAAATTTATGACGCACTCTATAAATAGTTTATCAAAAATTTACTTAAATTATCTTCATTTTTTCCATTATAAAGGGTTCACTCGGTGTTTTAGATCCTAGTGTTTTTCTCTTTTAAGATGCCTGAGGAAGAGGTAAGTATATCGTGAACATGCTGTTTGCGATCAATTAGGTGCTTTGAACTTTCGGGTATGCACTGGAACTTACAATTATTGATTTTGCCTCAATATGCTTTAATCAAAAAATTTTATTTACTGCGAAGGGTATTTAGCAGATGATTTG